CCCCACGAGAGGGGAGTGGGATCCATTGGGATGGGAATGCCAGGGGTCCCCATGGAATGAGAATGGCATGGAATGGGAATTCTGGATGTTTCCATGGAATGGGAATTCTGGGTGTCTCCATGGAATGGGAATGCCAAGGAATGGGAATGCTGGGTGTCCCCATGGAATGGGAATTCTGGGTGTCCCCATGGAATGGGAATGCTGGGTGTCCCCATGGAATGGGAATGCTGGGTGTCCCCATGGAATGGGAATGCCAAGGAATGGGAATGCTGAGTGTCCCCATGGAATGGGAATGCCAAGGAATGGGAATGCCACGGAATGAGAGCACCGAGTGTCCCGGTGGCCGGAGCTCTCCCATCCCAGCTCCCGGCCGTGTTTGCCGTGCGTTATTTGAGCATTCATCTCGCTCAAGCACCACTTCAGCGCCGCAGGACGGGCCCTATCTCACAGGAAAGAACCGAGAGCCTTCCTCCCCCCGCCCCTCACTTTCCCCGGGCCTGGATTATCCCAAATAAACACTCACTCGGGGTAATCGTTAACTTGAATGGCTCGGGCTGCAGCGGGAGCCTCGAGGGGTTGATAGTCCTGGGGACACAGGAGATAAGGGCAGGGTTTGAAGGGCAGCGCTCGTGGCCGCTGTCACGGCCCATTCCCACCGGGCTGGGAACGTTCTGTGCCACCTTCCCCAGAATTCACCCCGCTGGAGCCCTCCCTGTTGTTTGCCGGTGTGGTTTGTCCCCGCAGGTCCGGGGGTGGCTTTGCCTCCAGCAGCCCCACGGGTGTCCCTCAATCCCCTCAAACACCCGCAGAACCCTCCCGGCGGCTCCTTCCCCCCGGAGCTGTGTTTTCCTGAGTCAATGGATAACTTTACAGCCACGGGCACATCAAACAGAACAGCCCAGGTCTGCCGGGGGGACAGCGAAGTTCAAAATTAAAGCCACCCTCAAAGTCACTGCCAGGCTGGGGGAGCATCTCCAGGGGCTTTCCAGATCCCTGGGGAAGCTGGGCTGGGTTTTCTCCCCCTGTCCCACCAGACCTTGGGCACAGAGCAGGACCTTCACCATCCTGTGGGACCTTCCAGCTTCTCCCTCTGGAACCAGAAGGACAGAGCCTCCTCCAGGGAGTTTCCCATCCCCACCCTCCCTTCCATGTGTTTTCCAGGTCCTGGATCTGATGTGGCAGCAGCAGCTTCGCTTCCTTCTGAATTCCAAGAAAAGAGCCGAGTCTCCCGTTGGTGCCGTCACCTCCTGGCCGTGCCCTGTGAGACCATGTGGCCTCCTCCAGGCTCCCCCCAGGATTTTATCCCTCCCTGTCCTTGACCAGCCGGATCTTGGCATTCCTGGAGCTTTAACAGCCCGGCAGGAACAGTCCCGGCATCGACCCAGCACAAACGAGGCCAGGACAGGACGGTGACGGTGCTGGGGGGACACTGCAGGGAGTGAGAGCCACGGGGTGGGAAAGGGAGAAGAACTTTTTGGGATCCTGCTCAAGGGGTGAGCCTGAACTTCCATCTCTGCTCTGAGCCCTGTCCCAGATTTGCCACTGCTCCAAGAGGACGTTCCAGGGAGGAGCTGGCCCAAAGGGACCTCAGCCAGGTCTGACATCTCTCCAGCGAGGCCTTCCCTGGCGTTTTCCCCACTTTGGGAGGACACTTCAGGTTCTCAAGCAATCAGCTCCCCTCTAAACCTCCGTGACATTCCCGTTATTCACTGTCCTGGGGGCTTCACCAGGAGCAGCCCGGGGCACAGCCGTGTCCCCAAGGACAGGACAGGGCCACGGAATGTTCAGGTGTCTTGTCCCTCTTCCCCTCCTGGAGCTGTGGATGCTCCATTTCCCTCCAGGATAAAGAATGGGAGCACAGAAAGGTGAGGGGGTCAAAACCAAGGGTTGTGTCCCTCCTTCCCCTTCCCACGGTGCTGGGACAGGGACAACTCCAGGCTCACACCTTTCATGGATCCTCCCCTGTCTGGACACCCATTTTCCCAATAAAAAACCCTTTATTTCCTCCTTTACTGAAGCCTGGAAAAGCAGGGGATGAAGGCAAAAAAAGCTCCTGGAGCAGGAAGGACCAGAAGCCAGAGCAGGTGTGCAGGTGATAAAATTTTATTACAAAATAGGAGATGGATCAATGTTCCTGGGGAAGTTTGGTGGGGGAGAGGGGTTCTGTAACAAACACAGCATCCCAGGAAAATAAATCTTCCCTCCCCACACGTTTTCCAGGTCCCAATTTCTTCCCCATTGTGTTCATCTTGGATAATAAAGGATCACCTGGAAGAACCCACAAAGTCACACAGCACTTTTGGCCTATTTACAGCGATTTTCTCCCCATTATCAAAGAGAGGTGAGGCACCCACATTCCAGACTTTGATCTGCTCCTTGCAAAGCTTTTCCAAAATATCCCAGGGGACTGGGGGTGGAGGGACCTTCATTTGTCACCAGCGTCACGTGGCTCCATCGGCACCACCCCCCTTTCCCCAGATTTCTCCCCAAAAACAGCTGCCCTCGCTCACCAACACAAACCCAGAGCTCTCCACTCCGTCCATAGAAAAAGAAAGGAATAAAAGACGAGGATTTGCCGTGGTTTTCATTTTTAAAAACGGAAAATTGTTGCATAGAGAAGGATTTTCACGTGAGGAGTTTGCATACAGAGCAGTGGGTGGGAGCTAAAACACTTCTGCCCCCTCATCGAATTTTTAAAAAAAAATGTATATATTTATATATTTACACACAGAGAGTCCAGGGGAGGACAAGCAGAGGCTGTAGGGAAAAAGATTCCCAAGGTCAGCAGGAAAACTATGTCCGATTCCCCTCGGATTTCAAGCTGCCTGTTGGTGGGTTTGGCTTTGTACTGGTTTTTAGCAAACTGGTTTTGGGCTCCATTAGCATCACAGGGTCGGGAATTAGGGGTGGGAAGAGGAGGTTTCCTCCTCCAGAGGCAGAGGGGCGTGAAGAGACCCCTCTGAGAGGGCCATGGGTGGGGCTGTGCTTTGGTTCGGGGGGAACCTGGGGAGGTTCAACCACAAGAGGTGCCCCAAAAAGCCAGCTCAGAGCGTGGAGGTTGGTGCTGAGGGCTGGAAAATTCTTCCCACTGTTGGGAAAAACCATCCAGCAATTCCATGGCCTTTCCCCACTCCATTCCCACCCTCCCTGGTGGCACGGGAGGCTCCTGAGAGCCAGAGGGAAGAGTCACCAGAGCTGGACCCCAAATCCTTGCTGCCCTCCTCTCCTGTCAGACAGACCCACGGGACTGGCTCTGTTTATCCAAGGGGAAAAAAGTGGCTTTGGCAACATCAGAGAGGAGTGGCCTCCAAATTCCAGCCTGACCATGGTCCAGTGTGGCCTTCCATGCCACACATCAATCCCTGCACCACCCGAATTTATTCAAGGGAAAACAAGAGAGGAGGGTGTGGAACAAAGGAATATTCTGCTGGACACGGCAGGCCTGTTATTTGGTCCTGATTTATTTAAAACTCTCACAGCTGGTCTCGGAACTGGCTCTTCTTGTGCCTAAATTTAACCCCTGGAAGGCTTTGGAGAACGGGGTTGTGCATCCCACGGGATGGGGGGAAGGAGCTTAGGGAGAAGGAGGTGGTGAACCTGTGAGGTAGTCATGTGATTCCACTCTGAACAGCAGGATTTATTGGAATTTGTTTCCAAGATGCTTTTTTCCCTTTTTTATTACTTTTTTTTTCCCCTCCCATCGGATGGAATGGCAACAGCACAGGCCCGGTGGGACCGGCAGCCGCCGAGCCCTTGAGGGAGGATTTTGGAGAAGGGCACCACTGGTGGATGTTGGGACACCAGACCTTCAGCAGTTGCTGTCCCCTGGGGTGGCTTCAAACCCACGCTGGTCCTCCCAGCGACACCCGGAGTCCAAATTCCTCTTGGAAGCAGAAATGCTAAGGACACAACCATGAAAAGCTGGCCAGGCAGGGCAGGGCTTGGCAGTCCCAAGCTGGCTGCCAGGAATGGGCTCAGTGGGACACAGGTGACGCTTTTGTCACCTGCTTTTGTGCTGCCCCTTGTTTGAAGGGTGAGTTTGTCACAGGTCTGATCTTCTGTGCCCCCACAGAGATGGGATTGTCACCCCCAACAGTCCTGAGCATGGCTCCTGTGCTGGCACGGCACCGGTGTCACGTCCATGGTCACACCATGGGGACAGTGCCACGTCCATGGTACCAGTGCCACGTCCATGGTCACACCACAGGGACAGTGCCACATCCATGGTCACACCACGGGGACAGTGCCATGTCCATGGTCACACCTTGTGGGACAGTGTCACATCCATGGTCACATCACGGGGACAGTGCCATGTCCATGGTACCAGTGTCACACCCATGGTCACACCGTGTCACATTCATGGTCACACCATGGGGACAGTGACACATCCATGGTACCACCAGTGTCATATCCATGGTCACACAGTGTCACATCCATGGTCACACCATGGGACAGGTGCCACATCCATGGTACCAGTGTCACATCCATGGTCACACCACAGGGACAGTGCCATGTCCATGGCCATGCCATGGGACAGGTGCCACGTCCATGGTCACACAGTGTCACATCCACGGTCACACAGTGTCACATCCATGGCTTTGCCATGGGACTGTCCAAGAGAGTCCAAGTGAGACCAGTCACAGCCAAGCTGTCACATCCTCCCGGGCCTCACCCATCCCAAAAGTCCTTGAGACACGAAGTTGCTCCTGAGTGACAAATAAATAGCAGGATTGCCAGAAGAAAGCCCTTGGGAACGCAAGCTCCATCGCCCCGGTGCCACCAGGAGCCTGGTCAGGAGATCAGTCTGCAGTCAGGGCCCGTTTGAAATGAGCTGGGTGGGTTTCAGTCTCTTGTGAAACCAGACAGGGTCGGGGCCGGGCTGGCAGGGGCTCTGCCGCCGCCTCGGATGATCGCGGCGCGGGGTCGTTCCTATGTACAGGTCCTTCCCTGGGAGAAGGGAAGACTTTGAGCTGCTCTCGGAGGAGTGGGAAGGGAGGCTCCTAATTCTGGTGCCTCTTCATGTGCAGGGCCAGGTGGTCGGAGCGGGAGAAGCAGCGGCCGCACGCCAGGCACTTGAAGGGTTTGGCCCCCGTGTGCTTGCGGTAGTGCCGGGTGAGCTCGTCCGAGCGGGCGAAGCGCCAGTCACAGCCCTCCCACGTGCACTTGTAGGGCTTCTCACCTGCCCAGGGGGACAGCCACAGGTCACACGTGTGCCCAGCCTCCCAAAAACACCCCCTGGCCTCTGGAGATGCCCTCCTTCCGTGGCACTGCCAGGGCACCCCAGCGCACGCCGCCCAGAGGCACCGGGGGACTGAGCTGCACCAGCCAGGTCCTGTCCTTCTTCACCCCCTCCCACTCTGCCTTCCAGTGCTCTCCAAATTCCTGCTGGGTTTTGGAGCATTTCTGGCTGAAAACAACTTATGAATTAGTTTGGGGTTTTTTTTAAAAGAAAAAAGCCAAAAATTCCTAAGGAGGGTGTGATGTGAGTGGGGGGAGGCACCGGGAGGAAGACAGGGCTCTAAACCTAAATTTCAATACAAAAAATCTGAATTGTTTTAGAGCACCCATCCAGTGTTGGTGGCTGCCCCATCCCTGGAAGTGCTCAAGGCCAGGTTGGACGGGGTTTGGAGCAACTTGATCTGGTGGAAGACGTCCCTAAAGGATCAGACAACCTTTAAAGACCCCTCCCAAAGCCAAACCATTCCAGGATTCCATGACCTAACGCTCCACACCTCCGAGTTCCCCCGCCAGCAGCTCTGTACACAAGGTATTGTGTTTCCCTCAGAGCTTTCAGGTGATGTCATCCCCGTGCCCTCTCCCCCTCCCTCCCAAACACACCCATTCCCAACTGAAATCCATGAAATCCATTCACCCCGGCACCTTCCCAGCCAGCTGGGAACTGGGCTGGAAAAGCCGGCGGCAGCTTCCAGCCAGGCCACGGGGCTGAACCCTGCCTGCAGCCCTGTCCCCACGCAGGGCGTGGTGCTCTCAAATATTAGAGCTGCTCTTAACAGCCTGAACAAGCAGGCAGAGTTCAGGGAATGTGCTGACATTCCCGACCTCAAATATTTACCCTTCCCGGGGCCAACTGCCGGGCGCAGCGGCGCGGCGGGAGCGCACGTCCGCACGCAGCACGCGTGCACGGGCATGTGTGCCCTGCCCTGCCGTGCTTCCAGGGATTCCTTCCTCCCCAGGCTTCCAGGGGGACCTTCCCATGCGCCCAGGGAGCCTTTCCTCCCACGGGCTGCTCCACGGAACCAGGGAATCCTGGAACAGCTCGGCTTGGAAAGCCCTTCAAGTTCCGCCCTGCCCAGACCAGGTTCCACCAATTTCCAGGGATTCCTACACCGATTTCTAGGGATTCCTTCCTCTCCGTGCTTCCCAGGGAGCCTTTCCTCCCACAGGCTGCTCCATGGAACCAGGGAATCCTGGAATGCCTTGGCTTGGAAGGGACCTTACAGCCCATCTTCCTCAGACCAGGTTCCACTAGTCCACATTCCACTAGATCCAAGTCCTATCCCACCTGGCCTTGAGCGATTCCCAGGGCTGGGAATGCCACGTTTGGCCAGGGAAGTGGAAGGTCTCCAGTGCCACAAAACCATGGAAAGGAGAACCTGGAGGAGGCAGAGCAGCACGAGCACATCCTGCTCCTCAAAAAACCCCTGGATGCTGCTCCTCGGGAAAGGGAGGGGGATTTTTATGGCTCAGGTAAACACTGAGTGCAGAGGATTTACAAGGAGCTGGTGGGGGGTTTATGGGACTCGGGACATGCCAAGACAAAGGTAGGATTTTCCCAAAGTTCGGATTTGCCCCGAAGTGGGATTTCCCCAAAATCAGATTCTCCCAAAGGCAGGATTTGCCCCTTGCAGCCCAGACATTGTCCCCTCCAGGTCACCTGGCTGGGTCAACCCCACCGAAGCCCTTTGCCTTCAAACAATGCCAGGGTGATCTCCAGGACAGAAACCCAAGGTTTCCCATTGTCCCGGGTTTCCCATTGTCCCGGGAGCTGGCTGCCTCTCCCAGGACAGCACGGCAGGGCGGGCTCAAACAAAGGATCCAAGGTGGCATTCCCGGCCCCGGGGGTTTATGTTTAACCTCACAATGGCACCCAGGAAATGAATGGTGGCTCCGGGAGAGGGAAACACCCGGCCCATGGCAACGGGAAACCACAAGGGAAGAGTTCCCAGATCATCAGGCAGGGAATGGGAGAAGGGACATTTTTAACCCTGCGGGTGAGGGGGCTGAGGCAGGATTTGGGGTGAGCCTTTGCTCTTGCAGCTCTCAGCTCTTTTCCAAAGCAAAACACCAGGCTTAAAAGCCTTGGATGGAGAGATCCTGGGATGCAGAGATCCTGGGATGCAGAGATCCTGGGCCAGGATTGTGGGATGGTTCCGGGTTGGATTCCCTGCGTTTTGCTCATCCCACACCACCACCAGCTCTCCTGACTCCTCAGCTCACACCTTCCCTCACCTCTCCACCCTTCCCTCTAACAGCAGGGGAAGGGAAGGAGACAAAGCCACTTGGATTTCCTGCCTGGTTACTGGGAAACCTGGAAAACCCACTGAGTTTCCCTGGATTTCAAACCCACCCAAGTTTTCCCGGGTACATCTTTATATCTGATAGGTAAGGAGGCGCCCAACTCATGGATCCTGTCCTGGGCACAGAGCGCCCCACAGAAGGGACAGGAGATATTTAATTTAATTTAATTTTAAAGCCCCGATTCCAGACTGTGATAAATCCCTATCAGCACCCAGCTCTGGGACAACATCCTTCCTGTTCCTCTTTTTCCACCCCTTCCGTGCTGTTTCCCAGCCCCCTCCTCCCCAGCCCCTGCCAAAGAAATATCAGTGGCTCACTCACAAAGCGAAATTCTTTGTTTGAAGGGCTGATAAGAGGAGGAAGGAACGGAGCCAAGAGCCAGAACCAATTCCCAGCTGCAGAGTGGGGTTTGGTCGTTGTTCATAAAAAAGAGAAGTGAACTCTGGGCCCGGCTTAATTGCTCTCAGTAAAGATCAGCCCTCCTATAAAAGAGATTTATGAGGGCACTGATGGTTCCTGGACTACCTGGGGATCTGATAACGTTTCAGGTATAATAAATGCCTTAATGAGGGCGCCGGGGCTTGACTGCAGAGTGTCACGGAGCTGGGATCAGCCCAGGGGAGCTGTGCTGGGAGCTGCTCCCGGCTGGGGTTCCCGTTTGCACCGTGGACCCTCGGGAATGAGGGCACAGCCCAGCCCCCGTGGACTGCTGGGTTCAGAGGGAGGGATGCCCAAGGAGACACGAGGGGTTCCTCCCTCTCCCTGGGAGCCACCACGGGGGTTTGACACTAAAGAGGTGCCCTGGTCTCCTCCTCAGAGATCCTAAACTCAGGCCTTACAAATCCTTCCTGTAGGATCAGCAGGATCAGCCCTGGGTAGGATTTGGGATATCTCGAGGGAAGAGCTCAAAGAGTGACAAAAAGATCAAAGAATCAAGGAACAAACCAGGTTAGGAGTGATCTTAAAGTTCATCTCACACTACTGATGGTAACTTCCACCATCCCAGGTTGCTCCAAGCCCTGCTCCAGCCTGGCTTTGGGCTCTTCCAGGGATCCAGGGGCAGCCACAGCTGCTCTGGGCACCTGTGCCAGGGCCTGCCCACCCTGCCAGCCAATATTCCTTCCCAATATCCCATCCAACCCTGCCCTTTTGGGGGGATTTGGTACCTGAGGCTGGCAGCGTTTCCTGGAGCTGCTCTTACCTGTGTGAGTCCTCTGATGTGCCTTCAGGTGGGAGCTCTTGGTGTAAACCTTTGAGCAACCTGCAGGGACAGAAGAAAAGCACAATTTCCCTGTGAGAGAGGGGCCCTCGCTCAAACAAACTCGGATATTTGAGGGGAGGGGCAGAGCTGGGCCATGCAAATAAGCCTGGCTTGGGCTCGGCATTAACTAGAGAGCATTTTCTCTTGGGCAGACAGGCTTTAACACCTTCTCCTGCCACCCATGGGAGCTGTGCTGGGAATTAGGCAGGGGAGAGTCAAGCACGGAGGTTCAAACCCTCCCTTCCACCACCAGGAAGAAAAGACACAGTTCCCCCCCATTTCTGGCTCCAGTCTCTCTGGGCTCCCATCGTAGCTGATATCACTTTGCAAAGGTGGGTTTTGTAACAGCCCTGGCCCAGCAGACGTGGTAGGAATGTTCCAGGAAGCAGGCAACAGCCAGGGACAGGCACAACTTGGCTGCCAGGTACCAGAACAGAGCCAGGGGTTTTCACAAGATCAGCATGAACGGGTCTCATCAAAGACAAGGTTTAACAGAAACGCCGTGGCTGGGGAGAAGTTCCAACAGCAGGTGTCTCAAAACCAGTCAGGTTTAATTCCTGCAGAGTTTCAGCTGGATAAAGCTTAAGGAAGCCTCTGCTGCCCTTTCTGGCCCTGCTGCTTTGTGTTTTGATGAGGACATTCAAATCTGAATTTGAATTGTTGTGACCTGCACAAGCAGCACGGGGACATTTCTCATCCCAGCGTTTCCCCCAGCCCAGAGGAGCCTCCTGCCCCTGGTCCCGTCCTGCTCGGGTGGGGCAGGAGCAGCAAGGGGTGGTGGCCCCGTTCAAGTTTTGCTTCTGGTGCTCTGAAGCTTTGGCAACCCCTCATATTTGGGAGAGAGATCATGGGATCATGGAATGGTTTGGGTTGGAAAAGACCTCAAAGCGCTTCCCATTCCGCCCCTGCCACGGCAGGGACACCTCCCACTGTCCCAGGCTGCTCCAAGCCCCAGTGTCCAACCTGGCCTGGGACACTTCCAGGGATCCAGGGGCAGCCACAGCTGCTCTGGGAGTTCCAAACCAGTTCCTCCTCATCCTCATAGCCAGGAATTCCTTCCCAATATCCCATCTAACCATTCCTTCTGGCAGTGGGGGCCATTCCCTGTGTCCTGTGCCTCCATCCCTTGTCCCAGATCCTTCTCCAGCTCTCCTGGATCCCCTTTAGGCCCTGGAATGCTCTGGATGGGGGCTTTACGGACGGGTCTCCCAAGTACACCTGGTTCCAGGTGTGAAGTCTCCAAGGTCCTTTCAATTCCTCACACAGACCAGGTTGGTGAGAATTCCTTGCCATTATTCCTGACTGGAGTCACCTCCAGCTGAACCTTCGAGGGAGGGATCACACGGATCCCTGCTCCATCTCTGCACATCCACACCCAGGATTTACTCAGAACAGATTGGGGTGGTTTTGTTTTTGCACCACAGACCAAAATCCTGCCTAAAACCAGCTTTGCCTCGGTGCAAATCCAGCAGGATGAGCCTCTGGGCAGTCAGACACGGGGAATCTGTCTCAGATCCCACCTTTCATGTCCTCACCATGACCAGCTGAAGGTAAAAAATGCAGCACAAGCCATCCACCACTGGCAGCTTCTGGCTCGGCAAGTCCCTGATCCACAGGGAGCCAGCGAGGGCGAAGGTGTCAGCACAGAAAGGTCTCTCCCAACCTGTCCTGTCCCTGTGCAGTTCCTGGCATCACGGCTGGAGACAGGATCTGGAGCAGGCAGAGCCTCTGGGCTGACCTCCAGCCGCTCCCATGCCATGGGAAGAGTCTGTAAATCTCCCAGGAGGCGGTTAGGAAGTGACTTTCCTCATTCACACACACCCCACGGGAAAAATGTTTGCTAATCCACAACTGGTCAGCACTGGGGATCAGCCCAGGAAGCGGGAGGTGTGTCCTGGCTCCGGGAGCGGAGATTTCCAAGCCCTCAGATGGCTCTCACTGGGATCTTTCACTGGGATCTGCTTCCCTGGTGTGTGCCATGGAATCCCAGACTGGTTTGGGTTGGAAGGAAAGCCCATCCAGTCTCAGCCCTGCCACGGCAGGGACACCTTCCACCGTCCCAGGCTGCTCCAAGCCCTGTCCAGCCTGGCCTTGGACACTTCCAGGGATCCAGGGGCAGCCACAGCTGCTCTGGGCTGATCCCCAGCTTGAGGGCTTGGAGCAAACTGGGACAGGGGAAGGTGTCCCTGCCCACGGCAGGAGTGGGATGGATGGCACAGCCTTTGAACATCCCTTCCAACCCAAACCATGCCGTGATGGTCCTGGCACAGCTCCCGCTGCAGCACAGGGAGCCACGGAAGGATGGCACAGGGACACCCAGCTCACGGCCCCTTGGGAAGATCACAGCCCTCAGAGGGAGCCCAACTCTTGGTGGGAATTCCTCACTGGTTTTCCACCCACTGTGAGAGAGAGGGAAAGGAAGGGAATGGCAGAGTGGCTTCACATGGCTGCTCAGGGTTGGGAAAGGCCAGAGCAAAGCAACAGCTCAGGAGCAGATTCCCAGGAGCAGATTCCCAGGAGCAGATTCCCAGGAGCAGATTCCCAGGAGCAGATTCCCAAGTGCAGATTCCCAGGAGCAGATTCCCAGGAGCAGATTCCCAAGTGCAGATTCCCAGGAGCAGATTCCCAGGAGCATCCCTGGCTTTGCAGGAGCTCTCTGCCTCGCTGAGTTGCTTTTGCCAGAGTGTAAAGTGAGAGGGAAGGAGACAAAACAGGAACCACACCGTGCTGGTGGGATCAACCTCTCCTACTCCCTCCCACTTCCCTGGGGCTCCATCCACAGCTTCATCCCAAAAGGATCTCCGATTATCCTCCCTGGAGGCTCCCACCCATCCTGAGGGCGCCAAGAGACCCCTGAAGCCCCCCATGAGCACACCTGGGAAGTCACAGTGGTGGATCCTCCTCTTCTCCAGCTCGGGGTTGTTGCGCCGGTTGTACTTGGGGGGCTGCATCACAACGTGGCCCTGGGAGAGGCCCCCGACGCCGTTGGGACCTGGGGGGATCTGGGACGACTGGACCAGCTTCAGTCCAAAAGTGGCTTCGTAGGACGGCGGGGGAGAGATGGTGTTGATGAGCTCGGGTTGGTTCTCGGGGCTGCCAGGCTGCGAGTTGGGGGGCGAGGGGGGCAGAGTCACCCCCGGGGCGGGGTAGAACTGCCCGGGGATGTTCCCAAAGCTTCCCTGTCCCTGGGCCACGTGTGGGTACTGCTTGAGGGGCCCCGCTGGCTGCACGGGTCTGTGTGCCACGCTGGCCACCGAGCCCGTGGACATGGTGACCCCGCTGAGGCAGCTGATGGCCGTGGTGCTGCTGGAGGAGGATGCCAGGGCGGGGATGTCGGCTCCAGCAGCGCCCAGGGGCAGCTGGAAGAGCTGGGATTGCTGCGGGTGGGCCGACAAGGGGATCTCGGCCGGCATCTCCTGCTTGATGAAGATGTTGTTGACCGCCACCGACTGGGGCATGCTGAACACGCTGGTGAAGTCGGGCAGGGTCTGTGTGGGGCCGGAGGAGGACGAGCAGGGCTGGGAGAAGCCGGTGCCGGGCTCGGTTTTGATCTGCGGGAAGGGGGCCATGGGTTTGGGGGGCCGGTAGAGCCCCGTGCGCAGGTGGGTGGTGTCGGGCAGGATGACGTTGATGTTCACGCTGTAGGGAGTGGAGCTGGGCTTCTCCGTGGAGAAGAACTCGTCCACCACCGAGGCGCTCTCCCGGCGGTACTTCTTGTCCGGGAGCATCGGCACGGGCGGCACCTCGCTGGACAGGTACTTGTCCATCTCCGAGCGCGCCTGCGGAGAAAACACGGACACGGGAGCTGGGAAAGGTGACCTTGGCACCCAGCGGGGGCAGGCCAGTGCTCGATGGGGATTTGAGCCAGCAGGAAATGGAGGCGGCAGCGGGAACAGCCCAGGAACCTGAGCTGAGGTGATTTAGCTCCGGGTCTGACTCAGCCAGACTCCCCAGGGCTGAATCAGCGTCCTCTGCCCCGCTTCCCCAATCCCTATCGCCCTGATAACGCCGGGCAGCCGGGAGAGGGTGCAGGTAGGACAGAAATCAGACCTGATAAAGGGAAACAAGCTTTGGGTACGAAGCTTTGGCCACACCAACAGCAGGAGTGAGCACCAGCAGTGCAGGGATGAATCCAGCCAGGATCTGCAGCCCACCTTGGACGTGCCGGCTCTGGTCTCCTTTAAACTCAGCAGCCTGAGGAGTGTTTTATTCTGGGACACTCTCTTTAATGAACTGAGGAATTCTAGGAAAATATCTTTAACTAATTTGGAATAATTTGGGCCTAGAAATATTAGTGATATTGCCACTAATTCAGTGTGTCCCGAGCCTAAAATGGGAACAGTTCCTGCCTTCCTGCCTCACCTGGGCAATGACTCAGCCCTGGCCTAACCTTTGGGTTAGTTCTGGTTTTACAGAGCTGTTTTTACAAGCCTGGCTCCTCCAAGTTACCAGAACCTCTGTCTCTGGTGCCTTCCCCTCCTGGTTCCTGCCTGCTGAGGCACCCCACTGGATCCAGGCCCAAAAATCCAGCAGCCTGATGGAGCAATCCTCGAGGAAATTCATCATCTGGTGCTGAATGACTCAGGTTCTGCTCGTTGTGGTTGCAGATCCCAGCACTAAAGCTCTCGTGCAGAGCTTAATTACGTGGTTCTCCAAGTGTCAAGGCCCTCATTCCTATGGAGAGCAGCTGGAAAACCACCAGGTTTCCCTGGCAGAGCCCAGGGTGCACTCCAGGAGCAGGAGCTGAGCTCAGCCCACGCCCTGAGCTGAGCTTTCCAGCCCTGAACTGTGTCACCACGGTGCCATGGGCCAAAGTCAGCCCTGCTGCCACCTCAGGGCTCTGAACAAAGCTGGGCGGGAGCCAAGAGATTTCCTCACCCTTTCCAGGGAAAGGATCATGGAGCTTCCAGCTCATTCAAAGAGCCTTTGCACCTCTGGGAGCCGTGCTGGTGACACATGGCTGAGCTGGCTGTCACCCAGGCACGGGGACAGCCACAAATCCACCCTCTGCCACTCGGGACGGAGCTCAGGGAGGCCGGGATGGGACTGGTGTGTGTACGTGGTGTGCTGGGAATCCTGCAGAACCTGGGAATCCTACAGAACCCGGGAATCCTGCAGAAACAGGGAATCCTGCAGAAACAGGGAATCCTACAGAACCCGGGAATCCTACAGAAATGGGGAATCCTACAGAATGAAGGAATCCTACAGAACCTGGGAATCCTGCAGAAACAGGGAATCCTGCAGAAACAGGGAATCCTACAGAACCCGGGAATCCTACAGAAATGGGGGGGATCCAGGGGCACAGGAATCCTACAGAAACAGGGAATGCTACAGAAACAGGGAATCCTACAGAACCCAGGAATCCTACAGAAACAGGGAATTGTGTGGAAAAGACCTCTAAGGTCATCGAGTCCAACCATGACATTTCTGTCCTTGTCAAACGTGGAGGTGCTGGAAGTTCCTGTCCCGGGTGAAGGAAGTTCAGGCAGCCCCTCTGGAGAAGGAGCCCTCACTCAGGCAGAGCCTAAAGCCACTTGTGGAGTCATGGAACATCCCAAGTTGGAAGGCATCCACAAGGATCATCCAGCCCAGCCCTGCACAGGACACCCCAACAGCCTCACCCTGATGGACCACACGCTCCTGGAGCTCTGGCAGCCTCGGGCTGTGCCCATTCCCTGGGGAACCTGCCCAGCACCCTCTGGATGAGGAACCTTTCCCTGATCTCCACACTAACCCTCCCTGGCACCATTCCAGCTGTCCCCTGGGTCCTGTCCCCCATCCCTCTTTGCCCCGAGGCATCAGCAGGAGGCCGGGAAGGGACCCAGAGCTGCACCTCCATCCCACCCCCAAGGAGAGCTCCAAGCCCCGAGTCCCTCCCTGCTCCTCGCCCAGCGCGGGTTCCCTCCCTCGGGAGAACCACGGCAAAGCCTTGGAGCCCAGCCCTGGGCACTCCTGGCAGCCAGGCTGGCACAGGCCAGGTTCCCTTGGGAATCAGCTCGGGATGCCGCGCATTCCTGAGCAGTGAACGGCCCCACTTGGCAGGAGCAGGGGCAGGGCCAGGTGCTGGGAGCCTTTTCCTTCACACTTCCTTTATCTCTGGCATTTCACTTTCTCACCTCCAGTTCCCAAGGGAAGGTCCTTCTGCCCCAGGGGACCGGGCAGGAATCGAAATGGAGAAAGGTGTGGAGCTCAGAGGGCCTTTCCAAACTAAAGGATTCCATGGAGAGCCTGAATTTCCATGGAAGGCCCTTGTTTCTCCCTTTCCCCAGAACCACCCCCCCCTGAAGAGCACAATCTTTTCCAGGTCTTCCCATTAAAAATCCACAGTGATTCCCCTTCAGGCTCCTGGAGAAAGGGAAAGGGCCAGCAGTGGCTGTCACCAGACAGGAGAACACCAGCCCTGCCCCACTGCTCTGGAGTGGATGGGAGTGGGAATGGGGAGAGGGAATGGGGAGTGGGAATGGGGAGTGGGAATGGGGAGAGGGAATGGGGAGAGGGAATGGGGAGTGGGAATGGGGAGTGGGAATGAGGAGAGGGAATGGGGAGAGGGAATGGGGAGAGGGAATGGGGAGTGGGAATGGGGAGAGGGAATGGGGAGAGGGAATGGGGAGAGGGAATGGGGAGTGGGAATGGGGAGTGGGAATGAGGAGAGGGAATGGGGCGTGGGGAATGTCCCAGCTCAGTCTCTTGGGGACTTCTGCGTTTCCTCTTCCCAACAGGAGCGGGAGGATGCAGGGGAAGGGATGAGGGAAGGCACTCACCTCCAGGATGAGCGGTGGCATCCGCTGGTCCATCCTCATGGGGTGCAGCTGTGGGAGGCAGGGCTGGGTTAGTGGGGTGTCCTCCCCGGCTTGGCCACCCCAAAGACCTCCCCAAATTCCCCTGGCCAAGGAGGGCAGCACCCCCAGAGCCTCCCAGAGCCCCCCAGGCTCTCCAGGTGTCCCCCCTGCCAGTGGTGTCTCCTCCCACCCCGCTCTCCGTAACATGGAAGCAGCTGCTGGTTGCCCACCACGGGTTGATGGTTGCCCACCACAGGTTGATGGTTGCCCACCACACATTGATGGTTGCCCACCATGGGTTGATGGTTGCCCACCACGGGTTGATGGTTGCCCACCACACGTTGATGGTTGCCCACCACATGTTGATGGTTGCCCACCACGGGTTGATGGTTGCCCACCACACGTTGATGGTTGCCCACCACATGTTGATGGTTGCCCACCACGGGTTGATGGTTGCCCACCACACGTTGATGGTTGCCCACCACGGGTTGGAGCCTGTCCAAGGAGGAACAGGGAAGCCTCTTTGGAAAGAAGGGACAAATGGGAAGCCCAGAGCTCTCCAGAGGAGACTGAGGCATGGCACCTGAAATCCCTTTGTCATCCCCACACAGATGAGTATGCTCACAAATGTCCTGCACCTCTCCCTTCTCCTGCCTCTCCCAGATTCCCACAGAGGGCTGAGGGCTCTTCCCAGATCCCTCAGACCCAGATCCTTTCTCCAAGGTTCCAAGATTCCTCCAGCTCCAAGAGCAGAAGAGATTTGGGACTCCTCCAAATCCCAAACCAGGGTTTACAGCCTCCTGTGGGCTCATTCTCATTCCACATCCTTCTCCTGCTCACTTCCAGGAGAATTTCAGATCCCAAAGCTGGAGGCCCCACATCCTCTGCCTGTTCCCCTCCCGAGGGACAGCAGTGACCTGGAATGATCCGCCCATCCCTTCCACTCCAGGGAATGAACCATTTCCTGGCTCTTTTTGGGGAGGATTGAGCTTATCCCGCCCGCAGGGTGCCCAGCTCAGCCCAACAATGCACGAGGCGTGAGCTGATGGGGAAAGGCCCCAGAGCCTTCCAGATGAAGAGCCACCAGGCTTTCAGTGGGATCACGGGCCCAGATTCCCTCACAGTCACTGGCCAGGCCATCCCTGCCATCCCTGGAGAGCGGGATGAGGGCAGGAGGCACCAGATAACACCGACGGCGTGGCCACGGGCTCCAGCAGCCACCACCAGCCGTGGATCAGCAGCTCAGGGAGAAGGGGAAACACCAACAAACCTTCTGGGAGTCCAGAGGGACTGGGATCCTTCACAGAATCCCACAATGCTTTCAGCTGGAAGGGACCTCAAAGCTCATCCCATTCCACCCTCCTGTCCAGCCTGGCCTTGGACACTTCCAGGGATCCAGGGGCAGCCACAGCTGCTCTGGGAATCTGTGCCAGGGTCTCCCCACCCTCCCAGCCAGGAATTCCTTCTCAATATCCCAACCTAAACTCTCTTTGATTTGAAGCCATCTTTATGTGGCCAGGAAGGGAAAGCCAACAAGAGACTCCTCTCACACAGCCAAAGCCCTGAACTCTGGGGGGATTTTCCCCCCAAAGGTCACCCAAGTTTGACCCTGGAGAAGCATCTCCTCAACTTGGCAGAGAAAGAAAACCAAAATAAAAACGAGGAGAAGGTACAAACCAGCACTTTGTCCACTCCAGTGAGGCCACTGGACACCAGTTTGTGTCGCTGGAGCAGCAGTGATGCACTCAGCACACCCAAACCTGGCGACCAAAATTCCCTGGGGGATGGGATAACGTCGGGAGCAGCCCCTGGGAGAGCTGGAGTTTGTGAAACCCCCAGCCCCAGTAAAACCAGTGGCTGGATGAAGTGAGCAATGCCATCCCACCTCTCCAGAGTGGGTTTTCCAGGGGCAGGATTTTCCAGTGGTTCATAGGGGTGGACGTGATCCCCTCCACCATTGCCAGTTCCCATAAATCCTGCAGGATTTACCCCTGGATCAGGTGTCCCAGGCTGGGGGAGCTGTTATCAGCGTGGAGATCGATTCAGGCGGAGTCCAACACAAACATTTCTTGGCAGGCCCGAGATAAACCCGGATTAACGGCGAGCACGGGGAGCTGGGCTGGGGCTGGGCTGGGGCTGTCCCCTGGTTAAACACCTCCTAATCTGCAGGTGACAAATGACAAACGGCCCAAGGAACATCAGGTGTTGTCACCACCAGGGCCAGGAGGGAAATCAGTGTTTGCTAAACAGGCGCAGGGAGGGCTGGGGGGGTATTTCACCGGCCCCCTGCTCGCTCCTGCCTGCCCAGAGCTCCCATCCCATCTCCCAGACGGGAGATTCCTGCTCTGCTGAATCCCAGGCCCCTGCTCACAGCCAGCCCCCAGCGTGGTGCTGTCACTGCTGCAAAGAGCTCTGGGGACAGAGGGGCAGGGAAAATGTCACCTGTGCCCGTGCCGGGCATCCAAGAGCATCCAGCCCCAGGACCCAGCGCCAGAGGGATGTGGAACTGCTGGAATAAATCCAGAGGAGGCTCCCAGGGCTGGAGCCAGCCTGAGATAGCTGGGGAGGCTCACCTGGAGAGGAGAAGGATCCAGGGAGAGCTCAGAGCCCCTTCCAGGGACTAAAGGAGCTCCAGGAGAGCTGGAGAGGGACTGGGGACAAGGGATGGAGGGACAGGACACAGGGAATGGCTTCCCAGTGCCAGAGGGCAGGGCTGGATGGGATATTGGGCAGGAATTGTTCCCTGGCAGGGTGGGCAGGCCCTGGCACAGGTGCCCAGAGCAGCTGGGGCTGCCCCTGGATCCCTGGAATGTCCAAGGCCAGGCTGGATGGGGCTTGGAGCAGCCTGGGCCAGCGGAAGGTGTCGAGGTTGGGTGACCTCTGATGTCCCCCCCTGACACAAACCACTCCATGATTCCGTGACGTGGGGGCTCAGGGAAGGAGGGAACAGCAGGACACGGCTCCAAGGGGAAGGGGGGACCCCGGGAACGCAGGTGTGGCACAACGGTCGTGCCACAACAACCCAGCCCGGGCTCTTTCTCCTCCTGCACCTGCACGAAACCGCAGCCTCCAAGGGAATCAGCAAACAATGGGCAGGATAATCATCAATCAACCCCCCTGGCACGGCCCTGGCAGTGCCCCTGTGCAGGCTCACTTTATAAATAGCCTGTATTTATATCCAGATTTGGTTCAATATCAGCATTTATTGTCTCCTGGTTAAATATTGACCTGGGTAAATATTTGTTCCTCTGATCATTTGGGTTTGATACCGACCTGGATCGACGTTATTTTCTGTTTGTTCCTCAAGTCTCCTGGAACTCTCTGCAAAACGGGATTAGCAAAGAAAGCCCCGGGACTCTTCCTTTCATGTGCCCAACGTTTGGCTGCTGTAAACAACAAAGCCGTGTCCCAGATGGAATCCCTGCTCCCGTGGGAATGTGCTGGAAGGCCCTGGATGGGCTCCCCTGCTCGCTCAGACCCACAGGGGCTCCCAGCAACTCCAGGGTGAGGGGCTGCTCTCAAAGCGGATAATTTGGGATGGAAAACCCCTCTAAGGTGATCAAGTCTAAGGTTTGCATCATCCACTCCAGATATTTCCCCTTTTCCTGCCACACAAGGGATGTGAGACCCCATCCTGCCCAAACCTGGGGCTTCAGAGCAGCTCCAGGTTGAGGTGCTACTCCCAAATCATTCATGGAATTCCGTTCATCCTCCAGGTTTGTGCCCATGGATGGCCCAGGAGATGGGGAGGGTTATCCCAGTGTTCTTTCCTGCCCTTGTGCTGGTGATCCCCGAGCAGATAATGCCTCCCCAGGAAGCAGGGAAGCTGGGAATCTCCATCCAGGCAGCCCCACTCCCAGACTTGCTGGCTGTGTTTGCAATTCCTTCCCTCGGGCAGCTGATAAAGGCTCCCTCAAAGGCAATCCAGCTCAGGTATTTATCACCGGGATCGTGCCACAATCCCAAAGGCCAAGGGAGCCAGGGAAAACACCCTCATCCAGCTCCAAGGTCAAGGGGTTGGAAGAGAGAGGAGCAGCTGGGAACAGCCAGGCTCCAGCAGCAAGCAGAAACCTTTCCAAAAATAAAGCCATAAATGGATTGAAAAATAACAAAGCCTTGGAGACACCGAGCCCGGAGCGGGAAGGGAATGACACAGGAGCACCTCCAGGTGTGAGGGTGAGGGGGCCTCACGTTGACCTTGGGGTTGATCCACATTTTTTGGGGTAGATCCCACTCCTGCAGAACCCCCAGGAGCCACCTCAGCCCTGGATGGAGCTGGAAGGAAGGTGGGAATCAGGGATGGCCTCTCCCATGGCTGCACCCGCTGTGAGGACAGCTCTCAAAGCGTGGAGAGGGAGGACGTGAGGGTTCAAGGGAGTCAGACCTCCAAGGCTTTCCAGGATATTCCCATTCTGTGATTTCTGAGCTGCTCCTGCTCAGCACCTGGAGGTTTTCCATCAAAGCCAAGGGGAGGTTTTCCATCAAAGCTCCTGGAGGTCGATCTGGGCCGATTCCTGCTGTGAGCTGCTACAGCCCCTTGGGTGGTTTTTTAGGGGGGAAATGAAATGGTTTAATGTGATTTGCTTCCTGGAAGCTCGAGAGGCTTGGAGCTGCTCCAGCCTCAGCCAAAACACGGCGGAACTCAAGGAACCCTGGGTTACACGGCACAGATCAGCGCTGGATTCGGAATTAGCCAGGAGCAGGGGGTCCCTGTAGCTCCATCTCAGAACTGCCTCTCCCTGACCCTTGGGTGTCCCAGGATTACCTGGACAAATTTATCCACCTGCTCCCGGCCACAGGACACTGGGATTGTCTTTGAGCCTTCCAGTTGCCCCAGTTACAGATCCCTGCCCCAAGTCCTGAACAGGAGAGGCTCTGGAGCTGCCAGGGATCCTCCCCAGCTGGTGGGATTCACTCTGCCTCCCTCATCCCTGTGGCAGCTCACACATTCCCAGAGGCTGCCAATGGAATGAGTCACTGCCTGCTTGCCGGGGCCTGTGGTGCCCTCCTGGCATCCAGATCCCATCAGAGGCCACAAATCCTGTTCTTCCCAGGAAAACC